TATATATATACATGGACATACTAAACATGAAACATATATATGAAACATATACACGCACACACACATATATATATATATATATATATATATATATATATATATATATATATATAAACATATATATGTAGAAACATCAAAACATACAAATGCACACATACATATACATATATATATATATATATATATATATTTATTTATTTATATGTATGTATACATATGTATGCAGATATACGTGTATACGCACACTTATTTATATACCACTTAATATGCATGTATATACTTACATATGTATTCATACGTATCTTTTATATATGTACGCATATATGTATGTATATATATATATATATATATATATATATATATATATATAGAGAGAGAGAGAGAGAGAGAGAGAGAGAGAGAGAGGAGAGGAGAGAGAATACAACTATATAAAATCCGTTGTGTTTTTATAATGAGGCTGTTTACAAAATCCATGTTGTTTAAATGTCTATTTTAAAAAGTGCAAAAATATATATTTACCTGACACTGACATCGGCAAACATTTATTGAAACTTTCTCTTCAATGTATTCGTTAACTTCGAAAGTGTTTGGGAGAAATTTCCAAGAATGTTCTAATATTTTACTGAAAATTTCGTATTAATTATTTTTACATGATCAAATGAATCATTTTGTGTGAGTCCAAATATTAACACTTGATTATCTGAATACATAAATGGTGCCTTGACATAATGTTCGATAGTTTTGCCTTCATTTCCCTCACCAAATGTTTGCACTTTTGCATCTGGAAAATGCCGTTCATTGTGACCGGCACAAGCCCTATTTGTTGGAGGGTTGTAGAGACTGGTCACTTCACCTCTTCCTCTCCAGAGAAGAAGGCCTGTGGACTTCTGCACGCAGGCGACACAATTCCACCTCTGACCGATAGTGTTAGTTCTTTGGCGACAAGTGCATAATATCCTCGTTTCTCTCTCGTTCTACATTCCCCATAAAACCGAAGTCTTCCGCATGTACAAATAAGGAGAAAGAAGAAGTGGAATGGCGTGTCGTTTGTAGGGGCAGAGGGAATAAGCCAAACAGCGGTGCTTCAGTCTCCTGAAGCACCCAGTTTCTAAAACACCTACAGACACATTCCCTATACCAGCTCTGAGGGCGCTGCCCTGGTATCGTATGCAACAACTGCCTCAGAAATCCAGAAGAGAAACGAGCCCAGCTTTGGACAAAAATAGCCGCTTGGTATACCGGGCCCCTTTTCCTTTGTCCCGTCTTTGACTCCTGTAGAAATCGTATAGGTATAAAATTGGATACTAAGAACCGGGACGTGAAACCATTTTGGGATTTTATCGATAAGTCTGATCGTGATAGGTACCATAATGAAAACATTCTGGATGTAGTGTGGACGAATAGGGGCGGATCGGCTACAGAATTGCGTTTTAACTACCTCGATAGTGTCTTAGGAGATTTATTTTAGGAAGTTGAACTTTCCCTTATATAGTTTATTTGGATCAACGGCTCGTCCAAGTTTGTGTAAAATTAGATAGGCCTAAAGTTAAGGTGGCAACTAAACTCATCATTTTTTGGTGAGAAAGATTTTCGGTATCACCTGCTACTGATGCTACAGCGAAAGTTGACGTAGACTGTGGTTCCGAATATGTGGTAGAATAAATTTAAATTAAAATTAGGTTGCTTTCGGCTGAATATAGTCGTCGGCTCAATCTACATAGACTATCGGCATAAACGTCATGTGAAGCAAAAGTTAATCAGTTTATAAAATCGCGAGATAGTGGGAATGTGGCCTTAGCTAGGGCAGAGTTACCCTCCTTGCTTATCAAGAAGTATCAAGTTATGTAAGTTAGGGCTAGATAACATGGAATATCTTCCGAGACAAAGAATATTTCCGCTGAATAGTGTGCAGAGGAAGTTATGAATGCATCTCTTTGATATGTCGCTCGCGTCACATTTTTGGATAATCGGAACGTGACTACAATCGCGAGCATATGTGAGTTTTTTCGTGGATACTCTCAGGATCTGTTCTCCAGGGAGCTATGGCTGAGTACTACCCCGTTCGACGCCTGTTTTTCTGACTTACCATGCCTGAGGCAGTTGACGCGGCTGGGTGTGTTTTTCCCATCACGTCAAAAATCTTGGAAGTGCTGAAGCATTTCTTCCTTTGCTTGTACTGATTTTCAACAACTGCTTGAAACAGGGGTCTATAACTTGACACTTCACCACGGGTATGATAAAGTTGCTACGTAAGGAAAAGAATGGTGGGGAGACGATAGATAACTTTCGCTCTTCAACGATGTTAAATACAGAGTAAAATACTTTAGCCAAGATCTTAGCAAACCGTTAGCAGGTTGTCTTCTTTAATCTGATTGGATCCGAGCATTAAACTATCATATGGTACGCTTGATCATCGATCAAGGTCAGAGTGAAGACACGCTGATCAATTTAGATCAGTCCAAGGCCTTAGATAGGGCGGCCCTTCAATTTCTGGAGGCTT